TTATATTTTTAATAATAAAATATTAATTATTAAATTAAGAACATTTTGACAATAGAACCCTTTATCTAGTAATTAGTGTTTTACTATCTAAACTATAAAATAAAATTATTTAACATATAAGTGTAATAAGTAAAAAAATAATATAATAAAAAATACTTGTACAATTTTATAGTGTGCTACATGATGAATTTATATAAAATAATAATTATTGAAAAAATTAACTCTAATTTTAAAGGAACCAACCTATTCATTTAAAATAATTCACGAATAGAACTTTCTAACTCATGAACCCGTTAATTAAATTCATACCTACTTGGCTTCATTGACTCGGCAAAATCCACCTCATTTTTTCTGAGGTCTACTAAGACTACTCTAAACCTTTGTTGCTTCCATCTCCATTGCGAATGGAAGATTCCATTGACAAAAGAGGAGACAAGACCTTGGGATACACTTCATTTTTTTTTTTTTTTTGCCCTTTTTTGCCTATTGTGAACAGTGACTAAAATGGTAGGACGCACACTCATGGTTTGTGTGAAGGGGAGGGGAGGGACTCCATGATTGTTCCGCTTATTATGCTTTTTCTAAGGCAAATGTATAATAGCTGGCTTGCATGCTCGCAACAGGCACCTAACATTGACCAAATGGCATTCATCCAATTCCACTCAAAGCAACATCAATTGGAGCAATTGGCGGCAAACTTATCATTGTGGCTACGGCTTTTCAGAATTTTCTTTATCAAGGACTTTTCCAACTCCTTTACAAAAAACAAAACGAAAAAGTATTTTTTTTAGTATGGATCATATTTTTTTGTATAATTTAAATATTTAAATTATTTAAATACTCTTAATGAAATTATGTTTTAAGTTTATTTATTAATGATATTTTTATAATTTCAACATTCGAACTACAAAAAAAGAGTGAAGTCTATATTAAAAGACACCTTTCTCCAAATAAAAAATAAAAAGAAAGTAATAGTATTACCTATCTAAATTAAAATGCAGCATAAAAACGAAAAAAACGCCCTCCTTAATACGAATAATCTGTCTTTAATCTGTCTTGAGAAATAAACTTAAATAATACGTAAAAGTTAACTCATTATATCACAATACCATTATACAATGCAGGCATAATTTTTTTTTTTTCACCCTTACTTTTTAGCTTTAGAAACTTTAAAAGATTAAAATGTTCATTTTTACCCATCATTTCCCCCTTTCGAGTGCAACAAGTCTTTCCGTTCTTAGTTTTACCCATGTGGGAGCGTGATTGATGGAGATCTCTATGACTATATCAAACAAAAACGAAAACGATTCAAGGAAAATTTTGCCTTGATTTAGAACATCGTCTCACATCTAACCTAATCCTTTTTTTTCAAAAAAAAAAAAGAAAGAAAAAAACTAAAGTATATAATATTTATTAGCTGAATTTTTAAAAAATTAAAAAGAAAAACAATGCTTTAAAATTACATTGTTTTAATAATATATATCATAAGAAAAAAATAAAAAAATTTCATTTATACTTAAAAAATATATATATATATATATATATATATATATATATTTGAACCAAGGGGAATTGTGGGGGATGTGGGAATTAGTGCTTGGAGGTAAAACCCATAACATGTTTCACGTAGGCTATGACCACTAGACCACATAGTGCTAGACACTTTAAAAATATATTAGTTTAATCATTTTCAATAAAATTTTATTAAAACAACATATTTTTTTGTATATTTCTTTTTTTTTTAAAAAAATATTTTAATAATAATATGTCAAATTCTCATTAACTGTTACCATGTGCTATACCTGGCATGGCATTTTTTGTTGGTTTGAGAAAAACTTCTTGGCCCGCGTAGAGTGTAGACTCAAAGGGGTATCTGACCCAATTTCTTTTAGGCTTTAATCAGAGTCTGAAACTCTGATTGCATGGGGTAATCTATTAATCTTAAATCCTCACATGGCCCGCTGGGGGTGATGGGTTTCGGCCCTAAAACTTGTAACCTATATTGTAGAGTTGTAGTTGTGGGCTCCAAAAAAAGGAAAAAAAAAATTCAGTGTTAAACGTTGGTTTAAATACCAATTAGGTTCCTAAGCTTTTTAAATTAGCCTCAATTTGGTCCTCAACCTTTTTTTTAGCATTAATTTGGTCCCTCAACTTTTTTTCCTTATCCCTTAATCATTTTTTTTTTTTATGTTTAAATTCTTAATTTATTTTATACCATTGTAGTACACTTCTCAATTAAGTTTTCATTTTACCCCACAAGAATTTTTTTTTTTTTTGACTCCACAACACCTGCAAACCCAAAACATCAACAGTCGAAAATTTACAATTTTAAAGATTTATGAACTCATAACATGGGTGTCATTGTCGATGATATAAATTTTTACCGATAAGGACTATGTTGCTAAAAGTCACACAATACATTTTCCTACCTAAAAAGGCTGCTCCATTTTCAGCAATAAGGGGTATGCTGTTGAAAGTGAATTTCAACAACATACCTTATGTTGTTGTAATTTTTTGGTCATTACAGAGTGCATATTCCCACCTAAAAGTGAGCCCCACTTTCAGCAACAAGGGGTATGTTGCTAAAAGTGAATTTCAGCAACAAAGAACATGTTATTGTAACTTTCCAAGCACCTAGAGCATTAGCAACATGCCCCTTATTGTTGTTATTCCTATATTTTTTTCAACCAAACATTAGCAACAAGGAATATGTTGTT